GTTGGGAAACACTATTGAGGTCATTGAGCATAGTGCTTAGGTCCTCCAGCGATTCTGCCATAAGGACTATATCGTCGGCAAATCGAAGGTGAGTGATGTACTCGCCATTGATGTTGATACCGTATCCTTTCCAGACCAGAAGCTTGAAAACGTCTTCCAATGCAGCGGTGAAGAGTTTCGGGGATATGACGTCACCCTGTCTTACACCTCTCTGCAATTGGATAGGTTTCGTACTCTGGTTCTGTACTCGGATAGCCATCGTAGCCCTACTGTACAAGCACTTCAACACTTTGATATACCGATAGTCAACTTGGCACCGCTGAAGGGACTGCAGCACCGCCCAAATTTCGACGGAATCAAAGGCTTTCTCATAGTCCACATACGCCAGACATAGTGGCAAATTGTACTCTTCGGACTTCTGTACAATTTGCCGAAGGGTATGTATGTGGTCTATGGTGCTAAAGCCTTTTCTGAAACCGGCTTGTTCGGGAGGCTGGAAGTCGTCAAGTCTGCGCGCGAGACGATTCGTAATGACTCTCGAAAACAGCACGTAGACGCGGCTCAGAAGGGAAATCGGTCTGTAGTTCTTCAAGAGAGCGTTGTCACCTTTCTTCAAGAACAAGACCACCGCACTTCTGCTCCACGCCTCCGGTGTAATGCCACCATGTAGGACGGAATTAAAGAGCTTCTGAAGGACTTCAAGTACCGGTTTTCCACCCGCTTTCAGAAGCTCCGCTGTAATTCCATCCTCGCCTGGGGCCTTACCGTTTTTAAGGTGCTGGACAGCCATTCTAATCTCGCTCAGACTGACGTCCGGGATATCTTCGGAATAGTGTCGGATGAGATTCGCTCTTGGATCGTTACTCACACTTGCGTGTGGCTCCAACGTTGACGTGTACAACTGCCCATAGAACCTCTCAATCTCACTCAGAATCTCAGGTGTCCCGGAAACGATGCTGCCACATTCTGTCTTCAGCTTTGACAGTTGGCTCTTTCTGGCAGACAGATCTCTGGCAAAGACTTTGGAGCCTTGGTTCCGCTCGATCGCTTCTTCAATACGAGCTGTATTGAAGTTGCGTAAGTCCCGCCGCATGCATTTGGAGATCTGTCTGTTCAGATGCCTGTATGCTGTCAAGTCTGTTGAAGAATGTAGCTTCATCTCCCGTCTAACAGCCATGAGATTAAGAGTGTGATCGGAGAGTTTTTGTGTTCTTCTGCGGCGGGTCATGCAGATCTTAGCTCCGACCGCATGGACAGTTTCCACGAGCTTGTCATTCAAATCGTCCACTTCATTGCAGTCTTCTAGGCACTGAAAACGGTTTTGTAACTCGAGCTGAAAGGTTTCGGGACTTTGGATTAGAGCACGAGGGGGACGGAGCGTTGACTTCATTAGACGAGACCTCTCCAACTTAACGTTTAGGTTCAGTGTGCCTCTCACCATTCGGTGATCGCTGCCGGTTTTCACCCTCGCGATCACTGAGACATCGCTGAACAGTTGTCGTCTGGTCGTCATAATGAAGTCAATCTCATTTTTTGTCGAACCGTCGGGGCTCGACCAGGTCCACTTCCTGTGGGGCCGCTTCTGGAAGAAAGAGTTCATCATAAAGAGTCCCTCTTTCTCCATGAAGTCGGCCAGCTGCTGGCCCCTTGGGTTTCGTTACCCTATTCCAAATTTCCCTACTTTCAGCTCACCGTTCTCTCTTGTGCCTAGTTTTGCATTAAAGTCTCCCATTAACACCGTATATTGGGTTTTGGAGGAATGCATGGCTCTAGAGATATCCTCATACATTTCCTCCACCTCCTCATCGGGGCGTGCCGAGGTTGGTGCGTAAACCTGTATGACCTTCAGCGAATACCGTTTGGTGATTCTGAGTATAAGGTACGCAACCCTCGTCGACACACTCCCGATCTTTACAACGTTGTTAACGAGAGACTTGTGGATGATAAATCCGACACCTCCTTGGGACAGATGGTCGCCATCCCGGTGATAGAGCAAGTTGCCGGATTCGAGGATTACCGTGTCCTCCCCCTCTCTTCGGACTTCGGAAAATCCTATAAAATGCCAGCGCAACTTGTCTATCTCTTCTTCCAGCTCCACGATCTTCCCGTCAGTCGTCAGGGTGCGTGCGTTGTACGTTGCCAGGTCGAGTCGTCTAAGGTGGCAACCGAACCTCCACCGGAGATTCTTAGCACCCCCTGCCCCGCCGTTACCATGGTCGCCACCGTAGCCAGGAATGGCGGGGCCGCCGGGGACTGGGGGCCGTTTCTTTGTTACTGTCATTCATAGGGGGGTATTTGCCATAGTTGCCACGCTTGGCGAGCGGGTTGGCAACCGCAGTTTTTTTTATTGTTAGTTTGTTGTTATTAAGAAGATGCTGCTGCCCATCTCCTGCCTGTTTCCCTTTGTCGCCTTTTACGACACCCACGGGAGGATATGGGGTAGTAGATATTCTTGACCGCCACTACACGGCAATCTGGATCGTCTGGATCGATCTGGAACCATATCGCTATCTAAATTATACAATCGAAACAACACTGATGATAATTATATATTACCCATATTTTTAATATTTTACGTTTATCAAAATAAATATGCACTTAAACGCCTTGTTCAAATGTAATTCATCACTAATTATCGATATTGTTGACCTTAATTAAATAGCGGAAATTAAAGATAAGTCAGAAAAATCGCATAGCATTTTTTTTATCTATGTAACATGTGTCCCCAAAATCACTCTATTGAGAATAGAACTAAAATATCCAAAAAAACGGAGGTATACCTAACTTTATTTTTTTTTAGAACACTAGTGAATTATCCTTAGATATTTTTATATTTAGTTTTGAACTTGATTACTGTATATAGTAAAATTCAATTCTTCTTAGCGTGTTTTGCCAGCCGCCTTTGAAACAAGCACGGGACGAAAAGATACCTCACGCTGCGGTCGTGCGGCAACTATTCGATACGGCTAATTCTTTCTTATCGAATTCAAAAAGGAGAAGGTTCTCAATTCGACTATATGTTTTTTTATGTGTGTTACCTCATAACTTTTTTCTAGGTGATCCGATTTCGATGATTCTTTTTTTTATTTAAAAGCTGATGCTTCCCATGTGATCCATTGACAAGTAGTTTTTGAGTTATCCTTAATAATTTATATTGAACTCGCTTGCACATTTTTTTTTAATTTTACCGCTTGTTTATGTCCGTATTTTTTAAGTATAAGACCTACGAAACAATAACGATCAAGCAAAGAAATACTACGAACTCCTCGTTTGGTGATTTAAATTATTGGATCTTCATTGATTTGCTACAACGGCTGATTATTGCTTTGATGAAAATTATCCATCAAATTAATTATATTCTGATTGAATATAAAAGTGAAGCATTGGACTATTTTATTCATATAACTCAAATTTTTAGTTTTTTTCAAGTTGTTACCTACTTTTTACGTTGTAACTTACAAAATTATTACATCTTGATTAATTTGCTACACTACAAGGGCTGATTTTTTTTTCTCTGTGTAGAATTATCCATCAAATAAATTGTATTCTGATTAAATATAAAAGTGAGGCATTGAATTATTCTATTTAAAATAATAACTGAAATTTTTAGTTTGTTTAGGTTGTATGTATTTTATACTACTTATGTATAAATTTTATCTGAGAATTGAAAAATCTGCCTTGGATTGCTATTGTTATTATTTTCATAACAACTCGAAACAACAATTTCTTTAGGTTTAAACGCAGTGAACGGCAGAGTCGTGATGGGACACATTAGACGAAAGTTTATCAACGAAATTGGCGATATATTGAAGATGGGTCAGCGTAGATGTATAGATGTATAGGAGACGAGACATGTGTGTCAGGATCGTGCCGAATGGAAGTCCATAGTCTCTGACTACCTCTCTGGGTGACAGGCGTGAATGTTTATGTATCTACGTATACAATATGTAACAAAAACCCTGTGGTTCCCGTTTAGTAAGTTATCAGGATCATTATTCAAATGTCCATACATTTGAATAATGAACTTTTTTTTAAAAACTCGATTCGTTTTTAATTTTATTTAAAAAAAATTATTGTATGCAAATTTTATGTGGGTTTATTACCTCTGCATTGTCTGGGGAGTAAGAGGATTGTCAAAGACCCCGCTTTACTTAGCTTTAGCATCGGATAGTGTCAGTAAGAGGTAATAAAACCACAAAAATTAAAAAAATTAATTAAATAAAAAAAAATCGAGTTTTTAAAAAAAATATTTCTATAGGTTTGAATACTGATTCTGATAACGTACTTAACGGGAACCACAGGGTTTTTGTTACATGTTGTATAAATTTCATAATCTTATTTTCGTACGAAAGAATTTGGAACAATATTTCTGCCTCCAAGTAGCACTCATTGCTCACACATTGCTGTTATCTGGTGCAAAGAGTAAATAAACGAATAATAATTAATATTTACAATATTAATTACAGACTGTAAGGCTTTTTCATCAAGTTCGCGGGAATGGCAACGCATCTGCATTCTCTGTTTAAAGCTACTTGCAGAAGTTTATGGGTTGTAAATTACAGATTGTAATTGTAAAATAAAAATAATATATCACTTATTAGTAATGAAAATATTTTTGTTATCTTCTGATAATTGTCTAAAAAAAATTAATATCTGGTTTATATATTTATATTTATTAGATTTAATTTTTTTTTATAGGATAGGGTGACAAACGAGCACACAGTCCACCTGATGGTAAGTGGTTACTGTGACCCATAGACATCTACATCTATCTGGAGGACTAAGATGGAATGTCTCTTTTCCAGTAAAAAGGGTCACCGGTTCTCTACACTCACCATAAGAAACACAGCAGTGTTAAGCTGCTATTTTACGCTGGCATTCTATGAGAGCGTGGTCCTTCCCCGGTCGAGCCGACCCATTCGTGCTCAATTATACTACTAATATAGCTGCAGCATGGCTCTACCACGTATAATAATATAACTTTAAAAATATATACGCACCGATCATAATGACTTCTCTTTGGTCACTTTTTAATCTAATAACGTGTTGCACTTTATCACTATTTCACACTACGGTGTAATTCTTTGAATCTACTGGGAGACTGTCCAAATATGTCCAATCGGTGGTACCTTTATAGACTAATTCTTTTGAACAATTTGCTTCTTGCGATTACTAAAGCCTTAATCAGAGTATTATAGATATTATTGCAATTAATTAAAGTTGATTAATAATTTTTGCACATGAACCCGGCATTTGTCTAGATAATTTATAAGGAAGAATTTTCTTTCAACGGAATTATTTTAATTATCACCTGATAAGGAGTAATAGCACAATTGATAAGTGTCAGTGGCTTCTTTTGTGAGACAATGAATTATAAAAGTAATGGCCATTAATCGTAAAACAATATTACGAGGAACTTTCGCAAGAACTGAAATGACAACATTAAGAGGTTAAGTTCTGACAGTAGTGTGTTAGGTACCTTACGAAAAATTAAAGTAGCAATTGCTTTTCCCTGACACCATTATTAATTATTATTAATTATTATTATTATTATTATTTTTATTAATTAATTTATTAATACCAAAATAGGGCACGTGGCTAATTTATTAAAAAGGATGAGTTACTGAAGAATCCTTGTGATTTGAAACTCGTTGAAACGAAAAATCGACACTAAAAAGAGACAAACATATACACCTATCAAATTTAGCCTGCGAGATGTTGAGATAGAATACAGTGTAGTGAGCAACGACAGAGTGCGGACCGTGGACTCGGAAGGTAGTAACTGTTAGTATAACCCACAGTTCGAACCACCATTCGACTAGGTACTGTCGTGAACCACTCCTAATAGTCGCCACACACAGTCAGTTAAATTGACGTACACGCAAAAACTGACCGTGAGTGTGAAATCTTAACTTGAAATTTTTAACTGACGCCAAACCACGGATTTTTTCGGGCCTGCTGTCAGTTAAACTGATGTACATCCAAAAACTGATCGTGAGTGTGGAATCTAAAGTTGAAATTTTTAACTGACGACAACCCATGGATTTTTCCGGGCGCACCGTAATCCACTGGCTTCAGTTCGTTTCAATTATTAGTAAGTACTTACTTTCTTAGTAGCTACTTACATTATCTCTATGCTGTTTAGATTTTATATTAGTTTATATATTTAGAGAAGTTTGTTTGACGGAGGAAGGAGACCAAGGTGACTGTGATAATGTCACCTTCTTTATGGTGGACTCAGAAGGTGGGTGAAGGATCTCAGTTATGCTACTACGTAGAACCATCGTGTTTGGACTCATTTTCAAAAAGATTAAAGGAGACCTAGATGATTGTGATGATATCATCTTGCTGATGGTGCAATCCGAAGTTGGGTATAGGATCTCAGTGACGGCACTAGATAAAACGATCGTGTTTGAACTCATTTGAAAGGGCTCATAAGGACCTAGGTGACCGTTACGACCTCACCTTTTTGATGGTGCAATCCGAAGGTGGGTATAGAATCTCAGTGACGGCACTAGATAGAACGATCGTGTTTGAACTCATTTGAAAGGGGTCATTAAGACCTAGGTCACTGTGATGATATTACTTTCACGATGGTGGACTGAAGGTGGGGTAAAAGATCTTAGTCATGCCACTAAGAAACACCATCGTGTTTTGTCACCATAATGAAAGGACTCAAGTAGACTATGTTGTAGTAAGTACTACTACATACTAAGTAGACTAATGAGTAAATATGCCATGATTTTAAGAAAAAGAAGTAACTAGTTGAAATAACCTTTTAGATTTATTGGGGTTTGTGGCTTATTATCAGATTGTGTAATAATAAAAACAGTATTATTACTCACTTAATTTATTATGTTTTCAGGCAATGAGGGCATCCACGACTTTTTCTGCCACCAGGGCGGTACCACTAGAAAGTGAGGTATAATATTTGGTAGATTTCGTAGCGGGGAAGTTAATTTGTTCGGAAAATGTAAATGTTATTGTTTCTTTCTGCAATATTAGCTATATTTTATATTAATAAGATTAAAAATAAATAAACCAAACCACAGATATTCTATATTTATACAAGTGGAAAAACTAAAAAAAATGTGCAAAATTAAAGAGCAAACTACTGACGCATTGTTTTGTGTATTAATATAATACTCTAGACACTGATAAACTTTTATTAAAACCAACTTCTCAATGAAATTACATTTTGTAACAAAAAACTTTACCACAGTGTCGACAAGCGACATCTGGTGAGCAGAAAATTATTAGCCCTCATTAAAAAACCAGCAAAACTCCCAAGTAGATACAAAAATAGAAATCAGCCATATATTTTACAGGCAATAAAAAACAAGGCAGACCGGAAAAAGCATAGCCAACAACAACCAAAAGACGAAAATATCTGCGTACTTCAAGAAAACCTACAAGCACCATTATCACCAATTCCTTATAAATGACCAACTTACCTGTACTCAGTATTTAGAATTCAATAATTTTTGACTGGAAGTAAGATTTTTAGATTTAGTAAATGAAACAATGTTGTACTCAATAATTTATTACACGAAATCTATACATTTAATAAAACAAATTTTTCGGATTTTATTTTGTTTAATTAACTTAATTTTACATAAGCTACCTGCGTGTAATAAGGCCTAGCTAAGGGAAATTCGAAAATAAAATCAGAAATATCTAATTTTGTCTACAGATTTTAATAAAAATCATTAGTTTAGTACAGTTTCTATAAAGTATAAACGAATAATTGTAACATTTGCTATAAAGAAAAACAAAATCGTTTCAAAAAACCTTGCTAGTAGACCTTATTTTACTATGGTAGAATAATAAGGCCTACTGCCTTAACGAACTCAAGTAATCAATTTGTACGTAATATAAGTATTTAATATTTGTGATCAATAATCACATGAATACAGTAATTAAGACTACGTTACTCAAATCTTCAAGATCAACAAAGCATTTATTCATAAAGATAAAGATTACGAATTTAGATAGCTAAATGTAATATTACAAAACATTTATTTGGACTGATTTTTATTATTGTGCGGTGCGGTCGTATCTTATGATAGATAATACAACTCTGGTGGCAGGACGCGGAGTAGCGCGTCTCTACAAAATTGTAGAGACATTATCGTGCAATAGGAGTCTGTTATTATCTCCTTGAGCGAGTATTATAAATGCGATTTTTGTTACTTAGGCCTTATTAACCGACAGACCTTATTACCCGCAGGCACCTTATTTTAGTTCCTGACGTTTGGGTGCCTCAACTTTATTTTAGAATGTAACATGTAGCATGCTATATTAGATAAACATAGAACACTAGGCCATCCTTTCCGTTACTGAAAACCGAGAAGCATTATCTGGTCATCATAAGAACTTCAGAATGTGCCCCTGCCTACGATTTTTTGGGCGCAACGTAATCTGCTGGCTTCAGTTCATTTGCATCACGCCAAACTGACCGTGAGTGAGCGTGCTTATAGCAGGGCTCCGTCACTCGTTCAAGGTCTCGCGCTATATACCTACCGGCTAGCTTACTCCGGGAGTGCAAGTATCAGTGTAAGTGTTGCACGCTCTACATATGGGTAATTTAATTTATAATCAATAAAATAAATAGTTAAAAATAAAGAACACATTTATTAATTTAATAATATTTACCATAATGTTTTTTTTTATAGGATAGGGTGACAAACGAGCACACAGTCCACCTGATGGTAAGTGGTTGCTGTGGCCCATAGACATTTATCCTCGTTTGCGAATCAAAATGCAGGTGCGTTGTCACCCGTGAGGACTAAGATGGAATTCCTCTTTTCCAATAAAAAGGGTCTCCGGTTCTCTACACTCACCATACGAAACACAGCAGTGTTAAGCTGCTATTTTACGCTGGTATTCTGTGAGAGCGTGGTCCTTCCCTGGTCGAGCCGACCCATCCGTGCTACAACTATACTACTAATATAGCTGCAGCATGGCTCTACCATGTATAAAACTATCATAATATCTGATCCATTTCTTAAAATTGTTTAGAATATTTATCTTATCATGAATAAAAATATCTTTTGAAGTGTTAATATGGGTGTTTGTAAAACGCTCCCGAAAACGAAGACAGATGATAGTAGGTACTACACCTTAGCACATGGGTTACAAATAAATTTGATCCCGAGGAAAATAAATCATCATTTCAAAACGTTTTATTAACTTTATTCACGCTCCATCATGTTAGTACAGCTAAATGAAACGATAATTTCATAAAAAAAAATCATGAAAATACTTAAACAAAAAACCAGCAGTGGAATTATTGAATTACAATCAGCTGACTAGGGTCAATGTATGCGCGGGCGCCGAACTCTTATATGCCCCGTCACGTAAAAACGCTGGCCTTGAACCTGGGCACTGTGCGATTATCGATCAAATTGGTGTTACGAAGTTTCATTTTTTAGTTTCATTTTTCATTTCTATTTTCTTATACAAAATCAAAGATAACGATGAAATAGTGTTTCTAATTGTGTGAGTACTGAGTACCCAATTAGGTACGTTTATTAATTTCAATATTATTTTGTAGTAAAGAACTGTTTGTTGCGTCAGGGTACAATTGATTGTATAATTGTATTAAAAATGACAACCATAACTTTTAAATTCTATATGAAGACTATTCGTAGGGATAAAATTAATAATTAAATAAACGTTGGCGATGTCTCAACATATATAACGCTTTAACGGTGTGTGGAAGGTTCCAATGCTTCAAGGACTTTACATTGTGGGCATTTGTTTTAGCGTGTTTGATTAATAATTTTAGTTTTTGAGACAGTTCCGTGTTGACGATCACAAGAGACAGTTCAATTGTTTTGTTTATTAAATTATTGTCATTATTACTTGTTATTTATTACTTAATGATATTATTCTTGTTGTTACGTTTTAAGTTTCTTGTTTTGTTTTTATAATGCCTAACGCGTACGTTTATAGTGCTCGTGAATACGGCAACATGTTAATGTGTCTTGGAGAAGCTCGCGGGAATGCTTCGCATGCATTGCGAATTTACCGAGAGAAATTCCCGACCGCTCGACATCCAACTGACTCTCGTCTGATAACAGCAGCATTTCAGCGAGTGATGG